TGGTGCCAACTTGGGCCAGTGAAGCAACGTCCTCCACAACTAGACTGAAGAACAAAATGACAGCAACTTGTCTGTTCCCCTTCCCCAATTCCCCAACGCTGTTCCCATAACCCCAATTCCCCAATTAAAAAAAAAAAAAAGTCATTTACTTCTCAATTCTTTAGTAAATGATAAGTTAGTAGATGCATGACCTTGACCTTGGCAAAGCAAACTGAAATGCTGGCTAAACTACAGTAGAGCATATGCATCTGTTTAACTTGGATCCATGGCGGTGGCATGTCCTACTTGTGTGTTCCCAGGGCTCAATTCTTTCACAGACTTGCCTTCATAGAACCTTCCATTCTGCCATGTTATGACTGGCTGGGAGTCTGGACAGCTGAGCTTGTTTCCTAATGTATAACAGGACACCTTGAAAGGTTCTTGGGGGGCTGAATGGAAGAAGATATCATAGTCAGACATCAGGTCACTGCTGCTAAAAAACTCTAGTAAAACCCTCATCTAAAAGAGAACCTTGCACGTGGCTGGGAGTTGGGGTGTGGGGTGGTGGTGGTGGAGAGCAACGGGGCAGTGGATAATTCATTTTATTTTATCAGTGTAAGTCATTAAAAAGGAATGGTATTAAGACAGGAAGAAAAGGGACACAAAGTAGTTTATCTGAAGACACACTTCGTTTAATCTGAGAATACTTTTCAAAAGAGCTCATCTTATCCATGGTCCAAAGAGGACCAGTTTTTCGGGGACAATAACCAGAAAAGTCTGAGAAGGCAGATTTCCTGGTAGAAAAGAACTCAGGTTTTGTTTAAAAGGTCAGTTCAAAAATCAAAGTGTAGGGCCGGCCGAGTGGCTCAGCTGGTTAAGAGCTTGCTCAAAAGTGTGAGCTCTGAGCAAATGGGTCGCTGGTTCGATTCCCACATGGGCCAGTGAGCTGCGCTCCAGCTGAGTGGCCGCTGAGCTGCCAACAGGTGGCAGGATGGCTCAACTGGTGAGAGCATGTGCTTCTAACAACAAGGTCGCCTGTTCAAGATGGTGGGCTACGCCCGCCTGCAACTAAAAACTGAACTTGGCACCTTGAGCTGAGCTGCCACCCGGATGGCTCAGGGGATAGAGTGTGCACTCTTATAACAAGGTTGCCGGTTTGACTCTTGCATGAGATGGTGACTATGCCCACCTGCAACTAATTGAACACAGCACCTGAGCTGAGCGGCGCGACTGGACTTGGAGCTGAGCTTGCTGCGCCCTCCACAACTAAGATTGAAGGACAACAACTTGGCTGTTCTCCTCCCCCAATTCCCCAATTTAAAAAGGAAAGAAAAAAAAAAAATATATATATATATATACATATATATATAAAATGAAAGTAATTTAAAACACAGACAATAAATTTTGTGGTTAATATGTGAGGGATAATTTACCAATATACCAAAGACTCATACAGCAATACTAAAGGCCCACTAAAAAGATTTTGGGGATACGGGGTTGGGACTAAATGCGTCCCTTATAAAAGGCCCCAAGAAGCAGGTGATGCTTATGTATGAAGTGATATTTCTCAACTTCAGAGCTTTAATCCACACTGTACAGCCAAACCTTTGAGCCACAGAGAAAATGTCCAGCAGCAGGAAGCAGGGTGATAAACTGGGTCAAGTGTCCTTTCTCAGAAGGATGATCTGTGCTTCCTTTTCTCTGTCCAGGCTGCCAAGACGCATTGTCAAATCTGATGTTATATCATCACAGTAACTACATGTTCACATTATTAAATATATTTGCTGTATCTATATTTTGCGTTGATGTTCCGAGTATTCTATATTGTTAACCTTAGTCATATAATATACACATATACTCCTATCTAAAGTCACCTAAGATTATTTTTAGCCTGGGGCAGAAGAATAATAATCCTGGCTCAGCACTCTTTTTTGGGCCTCAGCTTCCTCCTCAACCAACCAAACTGAAGGTAATATCTCAGAGGCCTATAGACAACCAGTGCTTTGAGGAGCAAAACAAGATAGTGGAAAGGAAACTGCTTTGAAAACTCTCACGGTGACCTGGAGGGAATGCTTTCTCCCATCCCTACCCAGGAGAACAAGAACAGCTGTATTGCCACAGCGCTGAACCAGACTGGGTGGATTCCTCCTCCATCACACTAACCCTACCAAAGAGGCAATTTCATTTTATAAAATCAAATAAAAGATGACACATCAGCAATGAAGGTTCAACACAATGTCAACAGGGACTCACAGAAAAGCAGGAAGCAAACTAGTGTGGAAAATAAGGCACTGCTTGATAATACTAGGGTTCTTCAAATATGTCCATGTGAAATATCAAGAATTTCTATAGTTGAGTCCATCTTGTAAGGCAGGGACCTATAATTGTTACATTCCCAACGCAAAATGGAAACTGTGAACTAAAACAGTGTGTGAACAAGTGGAAAATGGAAAACACTTGTGACAAATAAATACCTTTGCTCCTCAGACGATCCTCAGGGAGGTCGGTGCATAACAGTTCTTTGCTCATCGGCATCAGTAAGTCCTCCTGTAGTGAAGAAAATCAGTGGTCAGGGAGGATTCAGAGATACTTGAGGTTATGCACGCAAATTACCCTGAGACTTCTTTATGACTTATGGAAATTTACTAGCAGTCACAGAGATTGGGAACTGAAGGAAACCTCAAAATTTAAATCAGCCCTGATTATAACCAGACCCCACAGATCTCCTCCAAACCTGAGCTTCCTGAGCTGGAGGAAGAGGCAGCGGCAGATGAGTGAAGGAGGACAGTGATGGCCCCATCTTCAGATGGGACTGCCTGGACAATGAACTATGCAATGACGGGTCCACGATACGGAATAAATGAGAGACTTCCTACTTCCTAACATTTGTGGAAATAGCTGTGATTACATTCATAGCAAAGAATACTGAAAATAAAGGAACTTTTGTATTTCTAGATGGATCTTTCAGTTTCTTACATGCTTCAAGTGAGCAATAGCCGTTGGGCTTCCTTACTTGATCCCCTGTCCAGATATCTGTCAAAAAATGTACAGGGTCTTCATATGTTATAGCTAACAGACAATTCAGAACTTTTTGTGTCTGTGTTGTGCATGATCAAAGTATTCTATCCTGGAACCAAGCCTATTACAGCACATTCAACCCAAGCACGAGCACATCTACCACTATTGGGGGGCGGAGCAAAATATATAAAAACTTAAACACCCTACAGCTTATATCTAAGCACCAAGAAAAACAAAGTAAGCACAATACAGAGTTTTCAAAGTTAAATCATCTATATAGGATGTCACATCTCTTTATATCTTATTCTTCAATAAGGCCAATCTTTTCCACATTCTGGCCAGTAACCTTTGCATGCAACATACTGGGTTATCGGAAAAGTCACGACGTATTTTTTTCTGTTTTTCATTGCAAAAATGCGTCATGACTTCTGACAACCCAATAGTTTTCAGCCTTTCCTCTCTACAAATGTGGAGTTTAGAACTGAATACATTCTTTCACCATTCAGTCTGTCTCATGCAGCTGTCCCTTCCACTGCACCTGTTCTCAGATACTTTCCCTTCCTTTCTTCGCCCCTCCCTAGTAACAGAGTGTCCCTGATCAAAGTTTATTATAAATTACAAGTTTTTATACTTTTTTGACACAATCATGAGGCAGGCAAGAATCATTTTTGTGCTGGTTTACTTTTTTATGATTGAAATCTTTCATGTTTGGAATACTTTTTTTTTTTTTTAAATTGGGGAATTGGGGGATGGGAACAGCACTGGGGAATCGGGGGAAGCAGAACAGACAAGTTGCTGTTGTTTTGTTCTTCAGTCTAGTTGTGGAGGATGTTGCTTCACTGGCCCAAGCTGGCACCATCATTGTGCTCTTACTGGGCGAGGCAGATCAGTCACCGGTGTCTGGACAGCCACTCACGGCGGCTGCTGGCCGCTCACGCTGGCTGCCGGCTACACACGGTAGCTTATGGCAACCCACTGCAGCAGGGGACTACAGTCTACACCGTCGCCGGCGACTCATGGCAGCCCAGCTCCAGGTCAAGCTGCTGCTCACCATCTTAGCTGCAGAGGTCAGTGTCACTGGCCCTCATATGTGGGATCTGAACCAGGGCCCTCTGGCATCCCAAGCCAGTTCTTAACCAATGCGCCACTCGGCCGGCCCTTATTTTAATTTTTTAAGTGGCTCTTTAAAAAAAATGTTAGTGCAGTCACAAAAGGACAAAGACTGTATGATTCCACTTATATGAGGTACTTAGAGCAGTCAAATTCACAGACAGAAAGGAGAATGGGGTTGTTAGGGGCTTGGGGGAGAGGTTAATGGGGAGTTATTGTTTAATGGTACAGTTTCAGTTGGGGAAGAGGAAGTGAATTCTGAAGATGGATGGTGGTGACAGTTATACAACAATGTGAACAATGAATTGTACACTTAAAAATGATTAAAATGGTATATTTTACATTATGTGTATTTTAATAAAAAAGCAAAATAAAAGTTAAGCCCAACATTTAAAAATCAGTTGCTTCATAAAACAACATGTATTTTGTTGTTTTTCTTTTAACAATAACAAAAACAATAGAAGAAACCCTACAGTGACTTTAAGATTAAATGAGTGAATGAAATGAATGCTTAAGAAACCCAGTTTAGGTTTCATCAGAGCCCAAGGTATAGAAAAGCGTAGACGTCTAACTCTAAATATTGGTGCACTTCTTCTCCATGAACTGGGAAATTCACCAAGCCAACTTAACTTTGTTATATTCTATTCATTGAATTCATGCAACACATGCCTGGAAAGCCTAGGCTGCCATCTTTCACAATTACAGCAAGCTCTTATTATTGGAGCCGTAACCCGTTTGAAATCACTTACCTTGACTCATTTTGGTCCAGAGGGAACAAGAGGGGTGGGTAAGTAGTAGTACTCTTTGAGTACTTTACCCCAAACCTGAGCCAGTGCACAACTGTGGGCCTTTTGCTGGTTTGAGATGAGAAACAGTTGAAGGAAAAGAACTTTGTGGCATGCTGCTAAAGGCAAATCAAGGGCTCCTAGAAAAACCACAGCATCTCAGGATGGAAAGGAACACGTCTGAGGTCGCTTGTCCAAACTAGAATCCCCTTCGATACACTCACTGACAGACACTCAACTTAACCTCTTCATAAACATGATATCCCCGTGCAACCTAATCCCTCTCTAGATTTGTCTTGCTGTTAAAAAGTACCTCTCGGGCCGGCCAAGTGGCGTGTTGGTTAAAAGTTGGCTTGGGACTCTAGCTCTGAGCAGCAGGACCCCGGTTTGGATCCCACATTAGGGCCTGTGACACTGCACCCTCTACAGCTAAGATGGTGAACAACAGCTCGACCTGGAGCTGGGCTGCCATGAGTTACCGGCGATGGCGTAGGCTACAGTAGCTGCACTGGGCTCCTATAAGCTACCGTGAGAGGCCGGCGACCGATCTGCCTTACCCAGGAAGAGCACAATACCAACATGGGCCAGTGAAGCGATGTCCTCCACAACTAGACCAGAGAACAAAAGGACAGCAACTTGTCTGTTCCCCTCCCCCAATTCCCCAAAATCTTTATAAAAAAAAAAGTACCTCTCATATTGAGCTACATTCTGTCACCCTGTACCAAGAATATTCTTTACCATTCATTAAAAAAATTTTTCAATATTTTTAAACATTTTATTTAGAAATTTCTTTCAGATGTACAAATCTGCAAATATTCTTCAAAAGTTTTCCTGTGGGCCAGCCGAGTGGCGCGGTGGTTAAGAACTGGCTTGGGACACCAGAGGGCCCCGGTTCGGATCCCACATATGAGGGCCAGTGACACTGCCCT